GCTGAGGATTTTAATCCTGCTAGGACAACACTGTCACTGAGCCACACCACCAGCCCCTCACTGGGGGATTCTAGGCAGGTGATCTACCACTGAGCCACACCCCAGCCCCTCACTGGGGGATTCTAGGCAGGTGATCTACCACTGAGCCACACCCCAGCCCCTCACTGGGGGATTCTAGGCAAGTGCTCTACCACTGAACCACACCCCAGCCCCTCACTGGGGGATTCTAGGCAGGGGCTCCACCACTGAGCCACACCCCAGCCCCTCACTGGAGGATTCTAGGCAGGTGCTCTACCACTGAACCACACCCCAGCCCCTCACTGGGGGATTCTAGGCAGGGGCTCCACCACTGAGCCACACCCCAGCCCTCTTTATGCTTTTTATTTTGAGACCAGGTCTCACTAAACTGTTACAGATGAGCAGCCTGAGGAAGAGGGAGGGGTAGAAGGCTAGGAGAAGGTAGACTGCAAGGGAAGGAGAGGAGGCCATAGCATTAAGGATCCTGGTGCAAAATAAACCAAATTAAGTTTTGCTTTTTATTTAAGGTAGGCTGATGGGAAATTACAATTATAAATTATAATTAATTTACTGTAAGAAGAATGAGAGAAGAGACTAGACATAGGTGGATCAGTTCAGAGGATGTTTTTGTTTTAAACTTTCCATTTATTTACTTTGTACTGGTATTTTGCCCACATGAGTGTCTGTGTGAGGGTTTCAGATCTTGGCGTTACAGACAGTTGTGAGCTGCCGTGTGGAGACTGGGAGTTGAACCCGGGACCTCTGGAAGAGCAGCCAGTGAGTGCTCTTACCCATTGAGCCATCTCTCCAGCCCTTGTTTTAAATTTTTTATTACATTTATTTACTTTGGGGGGGAACACACACGTGCCACAGTCATGTGGAGGTCAGATGACAACTTATGGGAGTCCACTGACTCCTTTCATCACGGGGGTCCCAAGGATCGAACTTAGATCATTTGGCTTGTCAGCAAGCGTCTTTACCTGCTGGGCCAGCTTGCCAGTCCCCAGAGGCTGTTTTTGTTTGTTTGTTTGTTTGGTTGGTTGGTTGGTTTTTATGGTTTTTCGAGACAGGGTTTCTCTGTGTAGCTTTGGGCCTTTCCTAGAACTCGCTTTGTAGACCAGGCTGGCCTCGAACTCACAGAGATCCGCCTGTCTCTGCCTCCCGAGTGCTGGGATTAAAGGCGTGCGCCACCACTGCCCGGCTCAGAGGCTGTTTTTTTAAGGCACCTTTGCCTGGCGTTGCCTGCCCCTGTAAGTGGAGTTAGGCATAGCCCTGCCCCTGGTTGGCCTGTCCTCTTTTGTCACCGCTTCAGGATAAGATAACCCTACAGAAAACATCACAGCCCCTGGGCAGCCTAGTGCTGGAGCGGGAGCACCAGCATTTACTGACCTTTGAGCAGTGCGTGCACCTCCTGTAATTGCTACAACAAAGCTGACTGCACACTCAGTAGTTAGAACATCAGAATTCTGGGGCCAGTGTCATGGCTCAGTGGGTAGGGGGCGCTTGCCACTAAGCCCAGTGACCCGCGGACCCGAGTTCGATCCTTGGGACCCACATGATGGAAAGAGAACTCATTCCTGCAAGTTGTCTTCTCTCTCTCTCTCTCTCTCTCTCTCTCTCTCTCTCTCTCTCTCTCTCACACACACACACACACACACACACACACACACACACACACACACACACACACACACGAAACCAACAACAAATGAATGTGATTTAAAAACAGAAACAGAATCCTGTCTTCTCACAGCCCTGGAGGCCAGAAACTGGAAATTTATGTTACTAGGTCACGATCTAAGGAGATGACACAGGTTAAGGAAATGGCTATCAGTGGGTTAAAAGTATATGTTCCTTAAGCATGAGGGCTTAAGTTCGAATCTCCAGTGCCTAGCTAAAAAGTTAGGTATCCATGCACACCCATCAATCCAGCACTCTAGAGGCTTTGACAGGGGATTGCTGTGAGTTTAAGGCCAACCTGGGCTATATCTACTGAGATCCGGGTGGGGAGGGGATAGCAAGACCTTGTCTTAGAAAGCACCCCAGCTGGGTGTGCACACCTTTAATGCCATCACTCAAGGGACAGTTCCTGGCCAAATTCTAGGCCAGCCAGGGCCATGTAGTGCCTGTCTCAAAAAAAGAAAATAATAATAATAATCATCATCATCATCATCATCATCATCATCCCACATTTGTAAGGGAGAAACAGGAGAAAATTACACTGAGTATATGAGACCTTGTCTTTAAAAAAAGCCTTGGCCAACGGTGGTGGCACACACCTCTGAGCCCAGTACTCAGAAGGCAGAGGTGGGTAGATCTCTGAGTTCAAAGCCAACTTGGTCTACAGAGCTAGTTCTAGTTCTAGGACAGCTAGAGTTACACAGAGAAACCATCTCAAAAAAAACCAAACAAACCCCCCAAAAACAAAGACAAGAAAAAGCAGCCAATAACAACAGCCCACACTCAAGTAAAGAGTGTCTGTTGGGAATCCTTGCTCTGTCAACCAATTCCAAACTTAATGGTTCACAAATTATTTGACTATTTTTGAGGCAGTATATTTTTATTGTAGCTCCTGGCTGTGTAGCCGAGGCTACTCAGGAAACCCCATCCTCCGGCCTTACTTAGTGCTGGGATTGCCACCACACCCAGCTCCTGCACATAGTTCAGCCTGTAGATCACTCTGATTGCATGCTCGCCCCCACCCACCACAAGGCTTGCCGAGAAACAGTCCCAACTTCATTGATAAGAACTCTGATTGCGAAGGGAGGGGGCTACCAGCCTGCCCAGCCGACTCTTTCCTGTAGGTACAGAGGCCAGGGGTCTACTTCCTGGTAGGAAGTGGGGCTTATCCCTTCTTCCTTTGAAAGTCTAATCAAGCTCATCCTCAGCTACACAATAAGGTCGAGGTCAGCCTGGGCTTCTCTGGACTCTGTATCAAAAAAGAGAGCCAGCCTGTCAAGGCTACTGTAGACCTTTGGTCCCAGCACTTAGGGAGGCAGAGACAAGCAGATCTCTATGGGTTTGGGGCCAGCCTGGTGTATATAGAGAGTTCCAAGCCAGCTATAGGGCTACACAGTGAGACCATCTTAAAACACAAAACCAGGGGCTAGAGAGATGGCTCCGAGGCTAAGAGCACTGACCGCTCTTGTAGAGAACCTAGGTTCGGTTCCCAGAACCCACATTGTGGTTCACAACCATCTTTAACTCCAATTTGAGGGAATCCAATGTCAGTCTTCTGACTCCTACAGGCACCAAGTGTCATGCACATGGTACACAGGCATACACATAAAGTACACTGGCAAAACACATAAAATAACATAGATAAACAATTTAAGGTGGTGGTGGTGCGCTAGATAAAGAGTTTGCCATGCAAGGGAGAGTGCTTGAATTCAGATCCCCGGAACCCATGTAAAAAGCTGGCCACACTGTCATCCTAGTGTTGGGGAAGGGAAGATGGATGTCTCCCTGGGACTCACTGTCCAATCAGCCTAGCCAAATCAGTGAGAGACCCTGTCTCAAAAAATACAGCGGAGGGCTGGCAAGATGGCGCCTCCTCTCCTGCCAAGTCTCATCGCCCATTTGTTATTCAAGACCCTGCATGATGGAAGGAGAGAATGGTCCCTTGAAAGTTGCCCACTGGACGCCACACCTGTGCTATGACACCTGTATGTGCATGTGCCTTTCATCCTCCATCTCACCTCCCTCTCTATGCACCATACATACAAAATACAAAGGTTTTAAAAGGTGTATGCTCTAACTGTAGGGCATCTCTGGAAGCCCTCTGGAGCTTGGGGGTACTGTCTGTATTGAGGTTTATTACCAGGAGCCACTTCATTCTCCTCTGGACGTCCCGGGCGTCTTTTTTTTTTTTTTTTTTTTTTTTTTTTTGAGACAGGGTTTCTCTGTGTAGCTTTGGCGCCTTTCCTGGAACTCACTCTGTAGCCCAGGCTGGCCTCGAACTCACAGAGATCCACCTGCCGCTGCCTCCCGCGTGCTGGGATTAAAGGCGTGCGCCCCCACAGCTAGGTCCCTGGTGTCTTAACTACACCGCGAACCAGGCTGCCTTTGATTTGGGAGGAGGAAGATGGCAGGCTTTTGTCTCCTGGGAAACCTTACACCAAAGGAGCCTTTGCTTGGAGTCCTGCTCTAGACACCAGCTGTGTCTCCCAGAGCAGAGAGCCCGCCAAGGGATTCTCTGGGGATCTGAGAGGGCGTAGATACCCAATTTAGAAGAAGCCAGGCAGCCAATCTCTCCTCCAGAAAGGGGCAAGCTTGCGACTCCTTGGGAGCAGGGGCCTGTCCCTAGAGCGCTGGTGTGGATGGATACCTGGCACCGTCATTTCCATTCGCCCATCTGTTGGGAGCCCCCAGCCTCTTATTGGGAGGCCCCTGGGGATTAGCCTCGGGAGGCCAACCACAGCCTCTCAATTCCCTCTTTGTCCATGGGGGGGAAAGCCAAGTGGAGAGGGGACAAGGGGCTGGACCCCTGCCCTCGCTGGAATGTGCAGACTCGTGGTTGAGAGGGCATCTCCCCTCGCCCTTTCTGCCACCTCCCCCGCGCACTTCCTGAGTCCCACCGAGCCCTCCACGGAAACGCGCGCGCGTACATACACACACATTCGCACATGCTTGCATGCATGCACACACACACACACACACACACACACACACACACACACACACACACACACACACTTCCTGGCGGCCCCCGGCTCCTGGCTCGCCCGTGATCCCGTCCCATCCGCCTGGGCAGCTGCCGAAAGAGACCTTTTGTTATTCAAATCACACCCTCCTCGCTGAGCTCCTGGGGACCTCAGGGTCCCGGAATCCACCGCGAGGTGGCCTCACCTCTTGCGGCGGATCTCGGGGTTCCCCGGGGCCCTCCCCTCAAGAGCACGTTCTCCAGCTCCACCGAGGGACCGCGCCTCCCCCGCCGGCGCCCTTCCCCTCCCGTCCCCTCCCCTTCCATCCCCTTCCCTCCCCGCCCCGCCCCTGCCGTCCTCGGTCCAGCCGCGGTGCCGCCGGCCACCACCAGGGCCCCCGCCGGCCGCCGTTGCCAGCAAGCAGCATGGCACCCCCGGGGCTGCAGTAGCCGCCACCAGTCTTCAGTGGGGGGTACCCGGGATCTCCCTGGGTGTGGGGAGGACACCCTACCGCTTCGGTCATGGATGTGAACAAGATGGTAAGTGAGACCTTTTGAGGCTCTGTCCCCGAGCTCCCCGCCCCCACCCGCCTCGCATCCCATCTCTCCCCCTCCCCCCTAGTCTGCAGCGTGATCCATTGAAAGTTTTCTGGATTGTTGATTTTCCTGCCTGTTGGCCCCGCTCCGCAGAGCGCTGGGAGGAAGGAGGGAGAGCCGGGCCAAGGATCTGGAGGCGGCTGGCCCGCGGGGCTGGGGCTCCCGGTTTCCCGCCTCGCCAGCTGCCAGGGCTGCCCTGGGCCGGGCTCCCTTTCCTAAATTAGTCAACCTGCGAGGCGGAGGAGGGGAGGGCAGCGCTGCAGGGAGGGGGCTGCTGCTGGCCCTTCGGAGCACCCTGCTCGCACGGGGCTGGGGATCTACTAGGAAGGTTTATGCGCTGGGAGGTACAGGTGTTCCTGGGAGGGCGAGTGAGGAGCCATCCTGGCTTTGACCAAAGTGAGGGGGCAGGAACAAGACGACCCCCCACCCCACCCCCCACCAGCCCGCGCACACTCTCTCGGAGGGGCCATGTTATAGACTGGTCACTTGTAAGCCTCAGCTTCGGTGGGCCTGGAGAGCAGCGAGCCCTTTTTTGGCTCGTTAAAGTATCTTATCTTTTCGGGTTCCTTTAGAATGGAGGGGTCTGTTCCCTTCCCCAAAGCAGCCCCGCCCCCACTCCAAATACTGCAGGAGATGCCAAAATTGTTGCTCATTGATTGAGACCAACTAGTGACTCTGGGCGGGTTTCAGGGATCCTGGAGGGATGGAGGGAGTAACTCAGGAGGACACCAGTACCAGGGAACCCAGGGAACCCAGTGCCACGCTGGCTGACTTTAGACCTGGGTTCCCCATCTTTGGCTGCCTCAAATTGGAGAGGTGCGCTCCCCCAAATGGAAGGCAGGGGAAAGCCATAGAGTTGGAGTCTGACTGTGTGTGGCCTGTAGGCGACTTGGGGACCTGCAGCTTACAGAGGAGGTTTGAGGTTAATTGTCTCTAGTGGGTGCATTTTCAGGGTGCAGAAGGTAAGTCCGTTCTGGTCCCCGCATAACCTTTGGCCCTCTATCTTGGTTCTGGACCAAAGCGTTGAGACACCTGTGAATTTTCTTCCCCTGGAAGGAAGCCCTTCTCTAAGAGGCTAAGTCTCAGCCCTCTGCGGTAAGGGCTGGGTTAGGAGTCTTCTGAACTCTTGTCTTTCTGTGGTGAGACAGAGCCAAGAGGCTAGACCCTGCCCCGGTCCCCCGTGTTTGTACCACAGACAACTTAAAACCCGCAAAAAAAAAGCCCTCCTGAGGGCTGGAGAGAGAACTCCATCCATAAAAGGCAAGTGTGAGAACCAGCGATTGATTCCCAGCGCCTTGTGAAAACAGACCCAGCTGCACACACACACACACACACACACACACTTGCAATCCCAGCTCTGGGAAGGTGGAGATAGGTAGATGCCTTCAGGCCTCGCTGGCCCACCCAGACTAGCTTCGTTTGCAAGTTCCAGGCTGAGTGAAAGGTCCTGTGTAAAAAAAAAAAAAAAATGTGGACAGCACCTGAGGAACGCCTGAGATTTACATCTGAACCCCAAGTGCATGCGCTCATTTGAACCCGCACTCACATATCACCTCGAACACGCCCACACATACACACGCAAAAGGAAGTGAGGGGAGAGGACTGATGAGATGGTTCAGCCTGCGAAGCACTTGCCCTAAAGTCTGAAGACCTGAGTTCGGTCCCCGTAACCCCTGTGGCGATCTGAGTTCAGTCCCCGTAACCCCTGGGAAGGTGGAAGGCAGTAGGAGACCTGACTCCATCAAGTCGTCTTCTCGACAGCATGGCGGGACACTTGACTGGCTGGCGTTTTCTGAAGGTGGCAGAGCAACACTAAAGACTCACTGGTCTGAGCTCGAGTTTAGGGTCCCGTGGCTGCTACTCCAGATGGCCTCAGAGCTCCCACCTGCTTTCATTCAAGTTCCTTCTAACTTGCCAGGATCAGGGACTTCTGCCTTTAAATGCTTTAAAAAAAAAAAAAAAAGTAGGAGGTGGTGGCGCACGCCTTTAATCTTAGCACTCGGCAGGCAGAGGCAGGCAGATCTCTGAGTTTGAGGCCAGCCTGGTCTACAGAGCTAATTCCAGGACAGCCAGAGCTATACAGAAAAATCCTGTCTCAGAGAGCCAAAAGGAAAAAAAAAAATCCCATTTATTTGTGTGTGTGTGTGTGTGTGTGTGTATGTGTGTGCGTACCCATGCACATGTTTGCATATACCATACAGCATGGGTGGCAGTACAGTTCACAGGAGTTGGTTCTCTCCTTCTATCATGTAGGTTTCAGGGATAGAACTCAAGTCTTTAGGCTTGGCAGCAGGCACCTGTACCCAGTGAACCATCTTGCCACTCCGCCTATCCCTGTCTTTAGTCATTTACTTCTGGTACTTGTACCGCCTTCTATCCCTCCTGAATCCCATGGTGTTTATTTATTTCCTGTCATTGTAGGGGAAAGTTGGGTGGTGTGGTGAACAATAGGACCGCAAGCCTGGGGAGGTGGGGATGAGCAGATCACTGGGGCTTTCAGTCCAGCCTAGCTGGGTCAGGGAGCTCCAGGCCAGTAACAGATCCTGTCTCCAAAAATAAGTTGGAAAAAAAAAAAAAGTTGGGCCGGGCGGTGATGGTGCACATCTTTAGTCCCAGCACTCGGGAGGCAGAGGCAGGCAGATCTCTGAGTTCGAGGCCAGCCTGGTCTACAGAGCTCTGGGAACAGTCCAGTGGATAAAGTGTTAGCTACACAAACATGAACTGAGGCTTGGATCCCCACCACTCACGGAAAAGCTAGGCAAGGTAGCATATGTCTATAACCCTAGTACTCGAGGCAGATAGATTCCAGAAGCCTGGCTAGCCAGCCAGGCTATTCAATCAGTGGGAGATCACGTTTTGAAAATAATGTAGAGCTAGGTGTGGTAGTGTACACCTTTAATCCCAGCCCTGGGGAGGCAGAGGTAGGTGGATCTCAGTGAGTTCAAGACCAGCCAGTGCTACATAGTGAAACCCTCCGTTAAAGAAAAAAAAAAAAGTGGAAAAATGATTGGGGAAAATGTCCTGATGTCAACCTCTGGCTTCCACATGCGTCCGCATGGGTGAGCACACACGCACACGCACATGCACGCATGCACGCACCCAGTAATAAAATAAAATGACCTGGCTGGCTCTGGAGGGCTGGGTGGAGTTGCTTCTTCTAGAGCAGCGAAGGGCATTGCTCATTGGCAGAGGAATGGGCAGAGCCCACTGGGTGAGAATGGGCACAGAGGTTGGAAATCAGGAAATAGCTGGCTGGTTAGTTGTGGCCGGTCCAGGAAGGCCTTAAATGCCAACCCCGGCGCTCAGCCTGTAGGGACTGGCGAAGCTCATGGGAACCGTAAGCACAGAGGCTGCACATGGATGGCTTTTCTCCCCTTTTAGCTTGGAGTCTAAACAAAAGTGATATTTGATTCTCATTAATCATTGAGCAGCCCAGTGCCCAGCCCAGAAGCCATTGTCCCCGGCTCTTTGTGAAGAACACAGACCCTGGGCTGTGTCGCTAAGAGAACCTTCCCAACCCGGGCCCTCTGAGCCCGCTTCCCATTCCCACAGGAGGCCCGGGTTGCTCTCTGTTCTGACCCTTCCTCCCCCACCATGTTTGGTTTGAAGCCTCACTCTGGTAGCCTAGAACTTCAGGGTTGACCCCAAACCCATTATTCCAGCTACATCCCTGACAGAACCCATCTTTACTGGTCTTGAGGTTTTGAACTCCATGGTGGTCTTTGTTTAACGAGAAAAGCCAGGTTAAAGTTCACCTGACTCCCTGTATGAGTCTAAAAAATTAATAATTACATTTACACATTTATGAATATGCATACACATATACATACATATGACTTTGATTCCACTTAATGAATATATTGCATATGTTCTTAAGAATTGTACTTGGATTGTGTCCTAGGAATGCTACTCTTGATGTGATGAAACACCATGACCAAAGCAATTTGGGAAAAAAGGACTTATTTGGCTTACACTTCCATATCACTGCTTATCATGGAAGGAAGTTAGGCAGGAACTCAAACAGGGCAGGATCCTAGAGGAAGGAGCTGATGCAGAGGCCATGGAGGGGTGCTGCTTACTGGCTTGCTCAGCCTGCTTTCTTACAGAGCCCAGGACCACCAGCCCAGAGGTGGCACTACCACAATGGCCTGGGCCCTCCCCTGTCAATCACTGATTAAGAAAATGCTGTACAGGCTTGCCTACAGCTTGATCTTATGGAGGCATTTGCTTAATTGAGGATCCCTCTGTGATGACCCTAGCTTGTATCAAGTTGACATAAAACTAGCCAGCACAGATTGCTTGTGAAATTTTTATAAGAAACAGGTAACTGAGTATGGTGGCGTACACCTTTAATCTCAGCACTAGGGAGGCAGAAGCAGGCAGATCTCTGTGAGTTTGAGGCCAGCCTGGTCTATATTGTGAGTTCTAGGACAGCCAGAGCAACATAGCAAGACCCTGTCTCAAACAAAACAAAACAAAACAAATAAGAAAAAAATAAAAATAAACAGTCATCATTCGAAATTGATCTATTGATTTACTTTTTGAAATGCTGAGGATGGAACCCAGAACTGCAAATGCTAAACAAATGTAGCATGGAACCATGTTCCAAGCCCCTCACTGGGGGATTCTAGGCAGGTGCTCTACCGCTGAGCCACACCCTAGCCCCTCATTGGGGGATTCTAGGCAGGTGCTCTACCACTGAGCCACACCCCAGCCCCTCACTGGGGGATTCTAGGCAGGTGCTCTACCACTGAGCCACACCCCAGCCCCTCATTGGGGGATTCTAGGCAGGTGCTCTACTGCTGAGCTATGCCCCCAATCTTTTTTTTTTTTTTCCTGGATTTTTCCCTGATTATCACCTTATAATTGAGACTGACTTGGAACTCCCAATCCTCCTTCCTTGGCCTCCCAAGTGCTGGGATTATGGGCATGTGCCACCATGC